CCTCTTTTTCACTGTTTTCCCTTTTTCCCTATTTTTCCACTATCTTCCCTCTTTCCCCCTATTTTTTACTGTTCTCCTACTTCCCTTATTTCTCCATTTTCCACTGTTCTCCCTCCTTTTCCCTCTTTTTCACTCTCCTCTTGCTCCCCTTATTCCACTATTTTCCCCTATTATTTTCCTTTTTTCCCCTATGCTCCTGCTTCCCTCATTCCACTATTTTCCTGTTTTCTCCTATTATTTTCCCTATTTTTCCCTATGTTCCTGCTCCCATTATTCCACTATTTTCCCCATTATTTTCCTTGTTTTTTCCCTATCCTCCTGCTTCCCTTATTCCACTATTTTCCTGTTTTCTCCTATTATTTTCCTTGTTTTTTCCCTATCCTCCTGCTTCCCTTATTCCACTATTTTCCCCTATTATCTTCCCTATTTTCCCCTCTGCTCCTGCTTCCCTTATTTCACTCTTTTCCTATTTTCACTCTTTTCCTCCTCTTTTCCCTCTTTTCCCCTTTTTTTCCCTCTGCTCCTGCTTCCCTTATTCCACTATTTTCTTGTTTTCCCTTTTTCACTACACTCCTACTTCCCTTAATCCACTATTTTCTTATTTTCCCTATTTTTCCCTCTGCTCCTGCTTCCCTTATTCCACTCTTTCCCTGTTTTTCACTATTTTTCTGTTCCCTTATTTCCCTGTTTTCTCATTTTCACTATTTTCCACTATTTTCCTATTTTCCCTATTTTTCCTTCTCCTTCTGTTTCCCTTGTTTCACTATTTTCCTATTTTCACCATTTCCCACTGTTTTCCCTCCTTTTCCCTCTTTTTCCCTCTGCCCCTGCTTCCCTTATTTCAATTTTTCCTTTCTTTCCTATTTTTAGCTAATTTTCCCTCTTTTTCACTACACTCTTACTTCCCTTATTCCACTATTTTCCTATTTTCCCTATTTTTCCCTCTGCTCCTGCTTCCCTTATTTCACTATTTCCATGTTCTCACTATTTTCCCTGTTTTCCCTATTTTCCCTCTGCTCCTGCTTCCCTTGTTTCACTTTTTTCTTGTTTTCCCTATTTTTTTGCTACATTCCTTCTTCCCTTATTTTCCCATTTTCCCTCTTTTTCACTCTTTCCCTCTGTTCCCGCTTCCCTTATTTCACTATTTTCCTGTTTTCCCTCTTTTTCTCCATTTCCCCTCTTATTCCCTGTTTTTCCCTCTGCTCCTGCTTCCCTTATTTCCCTATTTTCCCTCTTTTCCCTCTGCTCCTGCTTCCCTTATCCCACTATTGTCCTATTTTCCCTTTTTTCCCCTTTTCCTGTTTTCCCTCTTTTTCACTATTCTCCCTTATTTCACTGTTCTCCTGTTTTCCTTCTTTTTCAGTTTTCCCTACATTCCTGCTTCCCTGATTTTCCTGTTTTCCTTATTTTTCCCTACATTCCTGCTTCCTTTCACTATTTTCCTATTTTCCTCCTTTTCCACTATTTTCCGTCTTTTCCACTGTGCTCCCAATTCCCTTATTTCCCTATTTCCACTATTTCCCTATTTCCACTATTTCCCTATTTCCACTATTTCCCTATTCCCACTATTTCCCTATTTTCCCTATTCCCACTATTTTCACTATTCCCACTATTTTCCTATTTCCCACTATTTCCCTATTTTAACTGTTCCCACTATTTTCCTATTCCCACTATTTCCACTATTCCCACCATTTCCCTATTTTCCCTCTTTCCCACTATTTCCACATTTCCCCTCATTTTTCCCTCTGCCTCCTCCTCCCTTATCCCACATTTCCCTGCTTTCCCTATTTTCCCGTTCTCCCGCTTCCCGACCAGGCCGAGCCCATCCAAATCCCCTCCATCCACAGCTTTCCATGGACATTTTTCCCTACTTTTCCATCCCTTCCCACCCCTCCTGCCTCTTCCCCATCCCTGGGAGTGTCCCTGGATGGGGCTTGGAGCATCCCTGGGATAGCGGGAGGTTGGAATCCCTGGGGGTTGGTTGGAATCCCGCCCATTCCCTGCTTCCCATCCCGGTATTCCCGCAGTTCCGGCGGCTCCCCGACCCTGCCAGTGATCTCCTGCTCCCGCTGCATGAGGAAGGTGGGGCTCTGGAGCTTCCACCAGCTGGAATCCTCCGCTCCAGAGCCGGATTCCTGCGGCTCCTCCGGCAGCTCCGGCTTCCCGGCCGTGCCCACGTCCCCCCGCAGGATTGTCACCCGGAGCCAGGACACGATCCCGGCCGGAGCCGAGCAGGTACAGCCGGAATGGGGGCACCGGGACACCCGGGGTCACAGCCGTGGGTCCAACACCATCCATGGGTTCATCCCAATGGGGTCACAGCCGTGTGCCCGACACCATCCATGGGTTCATCCCAATGGGGTCACAGCCGTGTGCCCGACACCATCCATGGGTTCATCCCAATGGGGTCACAGCCGTGTGCCCGACACCATCCATGGGTTCATCCCAATGGGGTCACAGCCGTGGGTCCAACACCATCCATGGGTTCCCTCGTCCACAGCCGGGATACTCCTGCTGGGAAGGGAATGTGGATGGACAAGGATTGTTTGAGCCGGGCAGGATTCCCCAAATCCCTTCATGTTGGTGGGAAAGGATCTCCCAAATTCCCTGGGTTTCCCCTACCCCCTTCAGGCTGCTCCCTAATTCCCTGTTTTTCCTCCCTGACAGCAGAAGAAGAGCCCATCCCCATCCATGTCCCGCCCTGGAGGTGTCCAGAGGGTCTCCCTAATTCCCTGTTTTTCCCCCCTGGCAGCACAGGAAAAGCCCATCCCCATCCATGTCCTGCCCCACATCCCAGGGTTGGGATTCTCCCAACTCCACGGACTGTGGGGGGCTGGAGGTGTCCAGAGGATCTCCCTAATTCCCTGTTTTTCCCACATGGCAGCACGAGAAGAGCCCATCCCCATCCATGTCCCACCCCAGGGGTTGGGATTCTCCCAACTCCATGAGCCAGGGGGAGCTGGAGGTGTCCAGAACATCTCCATAATTCCCTGTTTTTCCCCACCCCCTTCATGCTGCTCCCTAATTCCCTGTTTT